GTCCGCCCTCTCCCAAGAAGAGGATGTTGGTTTCACATGTGTTGTTTAAATAGGCAAAGCTGTCCTTTGTATGCGGCCTGTCACTGCAAACATCTATACGGAGGTTGACTCCAAAGCACCACCCATATCCCATCTCTCTATTTGCCTTGCTATTACATTTATTTAATCTGTAGGCTTTACTCCACTGCACTAGCTGCATAGCTGCAGGGGGAAATACGGGTTGGCTTTGGTTTTGCCAGTTGTTCCTGACATAGGCAAAGCTGTCACGTACAAGCTGCCGTTTTTGTTTTAATGTTCATATTTTTAACATTAAAATAGTGAGAGGCCCACAATCTCTGAAGCAAAGTTTGAAAGGGCAGAAATATGACCTGTGATAGTGCTGAGGGCCAAACATTGGTTAGACCCACCCATTTTACCCCAGCAAGAGTAATTTTTTATTGCATGTTATTTATTTGGAACAATATTTCTGGTTTAGCATTTGTTTATCTTTTTCAAGTGTTATCATATAAAGTTTTTGGGTTATTTTTTTTCATTAGGCCCCTGCCCAAGTCTAGTATAGACGGTGGGTAGGAACTGCAAGGTTGCAAATAAAATTCTTACAAGTGATCACATTCATTAACTTTGTTGGTGTTAAGGCTGGACCACAGGTTGAAGATGGCTCCACATACAGGTGAAACTCGAATAATTAGAATATCGTGCAAAAGTAATTGCAGTAAGTGCTGCAAAAGGGGCCCAAACCAAGTACTGAGTATATATGCATGCTTGTACTTTTCAGAGGTCCGATATTGTTCTATGTACAATCCTTGTTTTATTGATTGCATGTAATAATCTACTTTTTTGAGGTTGTGGATTTGGGGTTCTTGGGGTTTTCATGAGCTGTAAGCCATAATCATCACAATTATGACAAATCATGGCTTGAATTATCTTGCTTTGCATGTAATGGGGTTGATTTACTAACCTTATAAACACACCACGAACATGTATACACCTCTGTAGTGTGTTCCCTCCCAGCATGATCTATGGGTGGAATCTAAACACCTTTGTAGTGTGTACACACCCAGCAGGTGTGTTGTGCAAAGCCCTGCATGAATTACAAGGTGATGTTGTGTAAATTAGCTCTATGTTGTGTTGCTTGCGTTGATGAATGCAGGAATGTAAATGCATGAGCTAACCATTTTTGTCTAAACTGTGAAGCAGCATTATATATGCATCATGTGCATGATTTTTCCATATATGGCATTAGTGGAAATATGCTTTTAGAGACTTTTTTGTTGATAAATACGTTTTGCTGTGTGAAAATCACATGCACCTGGTGCGTGCGTGTGTTTAGGTTAGTAAATCACCCCCAAAGTGTCCGTTGTACTCCCCTCCCATCCGGTTTAGCAATGTCCACAAGCTTCGCCACTGGCCCTAATATCTTCGTCTAGTCTTTTCTGGGTTTTGCAATTTTTGCCATCTTGATTGGACAGCCTGGGTAGATGTAACACCCACACTCAAGAATCCTGGCACTGAGGTATTCTGAAAATGTACACTGATCTACAAGAAAAAGCCTGCCTGCTCGCAAATGTTGTATTAACCACTTGAAGTCCGCGGTGGTAAACCCCCTTCCTGTCCAAGCCATTTTTCAGTATTCAGCACTGCAGTACTTCGACTGACGTTTACTCAGTCATGCAACGCTGTACTGAAATTATACCATTTTGATACAATTTTTTGGGGACAGATAGAGCTTTCTTTTGGTGGTATTTATTTTTTACTATATTAAGGTAAAATTACAGAAAATGAAAAAAAAATGTTTCCCCTATATTAAATTATAAAACATTTATTATTACCCAATTTGTTGGTAAAATATAAAAGGCAGGGTCACGTCGGGTAAAAAAACACCAAACATGTCAAGCCTTAAAATTGCGCACAAGCGAAACATAAAAAAACTACAATACCCAAAATTGGCCATAGGCGACCCTTTAAAAGCTTTTACCGCTCATCATTTTAGTGTTATCAGTGATTGATGGCCCTAAAATTATTGCTCTCACTCCGACGTTCGTGGCGATATGTAACATCTGTAGCGCATCTGACACGTATTTATGTTTATATGTGTGTAAACGCGGGGGTGGGGGACTTTAAAAATGTTGGGGGTTTTTTTAAAACTTTTTTTATATGTGACTTTTATTTTATTTTTTACTTTTTTTTTTACACTTAATGTTATTGCTATCACATAGGGGGATAACAATCTTCCTATATAATAGCAAAGGCACACTGACAGGTCCCCTTTATGGAGGGTGCGTGCGAGCAGAAAAAAAAAGCCGTCTAATTATGGCAACCCGCCAATGTGAGTTTGCCGTCCGTCCGTTTTTTCACAATGGGCGGACGGCAAGCAGTTAAAGTTCCACTTCAACTTGCTCATGGAGGACTGATGCTGCGTGGGCTAATTAATTATTAAATGGGAGATCAAATGTACAATGAAAGGTAAGAAAAGTGGAGCTTGTTGAGTTTTAAAAAAAAGCAGATTATAGTTGTAAACATGTATCCAGGGTCAGTATTAAGATATACTGTATGTTAAATTAACTTTTTATACCAAAGAATGTACAAAATGCAAGGGAATATCAGCTGCATACTAACAAATGATGACTTTGCTACAGTTGAGGAAGAGGTTTTTCACTTTAAGAGTCTAAATTGTAGACTGTCCTACTGTAAAAGGATGCTAAATTATGTTAATTTAAATGGAAAAGAAAATTATGACAAGGATAATATTATTCTGATCCTTGTGGGAGCAGATTTATTTTGAGTGGTAGCATGGTTTAAACTTCCTCTGGCCCAACGCATTGGAGCAACGCATACTGTTTTTTTTATGTATTAAAAAATGTATATGAAATATAAATGATTTTACCTAACCTCGATTTTAAAATTATATTAAAATGCTGTAATTGTTGTCAGTTATTGAATTTGTTTAATGCAAAGGTTTTAATACATTAAATATTCATTGTAGTATTATATTACAAGTCTAAACCAGGATACGACGGTTCCAACTGCCAAGTGATGCTGTCTACTGTTTTTAAATATAACTACAAATCCTAATCTGCACCAGAGAAACTGTCAACTTCATTAATAAACCAGAGAAAAGAAAGTTCTTAAAAGAAATTGAGAACATTTGCCCATGATCAATTGGAGTTTTCTTTAATGCTCTGTAAAATATACAGTAGATTTTATTGAAAACTATGGATGGACAACTTCTCCTCTTTGTGGAGAACTTTCTTTTCTGTAGTTTGTATAAAAATACCTAAAATGGATAAGTGCCAGATTAATTTAACAAAATGTTTAACCGATGAAGCAGCCTAGTAATTGAAAAAAATGCCACCTGTGGACCCATAAATTACCTCCCAAGATATAAGAACAATAAAGAAAATAGTATATCACAGAAATCACTGCGCTGGGAATGCGTGCCTAACTACCTGATTGGACCAGCCGCAACAATGTGTATAGGTGAACAAATGTAAAGCAAATATGTTGCGCTAGGTCTATGTGAACCAACTGCACACTAAAGTGTTAATAAACAAATCTGTGTGTAAAAATTACAACAATCCGTGTGAAAAAATTGATTCAAGTGGATTATTTACATATGACTAGAAGGTTCAACACACAAACATAATAAGAATAATAAATAAAGAAAATAGCATCTCTTATGTATGTACTTCAGATCCACAACTAATAAGCTCTTCTTAGACCACCACATCTAATTAAAAACGAATGTGAAATTGGCAGTTATATAACTTAATATAATAAACTGTAAGTGAACAAAGGAAAATAGTGTGGTTTTGCTTACAGTTTGACCCTTTTAAAAGTGTTATAATGGAGAATAAAACTGTATACTGCAAATATATCTAGACACTAAAATAGAACTATCATTCCATAGTAAGGTGTCCATTCACGATTAGCTTAACTAATCATCTTTTACTTTAGCTAAAGACAGACAGTTTTTGGTTCAATGCATATATTCCTATGTAAAAGAATAAAGTCTGGACATTATAGAACAGTTTTAGATTATTCCCCAAATACTATATAAGTTTCTAAAAGTACATTTACAAGGTTACTGGGTATGGTATCATGCTCATCTTTTCCCCTAATCCCCAGACTACATCAGCAGTTCTGGACTTGTTTAATGTGTATATCTGATCCGATCAGGAGAAATTCAACCAAATCCAACTACACTTTAGCATTATTGAGCCCAACTTTTTCAAAGCAAAATGTGATGGTTATAAGAATTTCTTTTTTTGAAGACTTTATTTAATCAATGGGTAGACAGTGGGCAATCAGAAGCAAGGTATTTCTAACTGGACAAACACATGGGCATCTTTTAATAAGAAGGAGTACAGCCAATAACACTGAATGTGCCATAGACAGTGTAGGTTAACATTAAGTGAGGATAGTTGGTATGCCTACAGGGTGGAGGTCTGGTCATATAAACTAATTAAAAGGAGAGTGATGGGTCTTAGGGGAGAATAGTTTAGTGTCCAGTAGTATAGTTGGTGGGTTAGGTACTTGCCAAAGGTGATTCTCCACATTAGCAGAGCCAAATGCGATCTCTGTATGTTTTGCTGGCAATTTGGACATTGCCACCGGAGTCCCGCTTTCAATATTTTTAATACAGGTAATTGTAGTAAAGATAATAGAGATAAAAAAAGGTAAGGGTGAGTGAAGAAGAGCATAGAAGGGGTGACTAGATTAGAGAATAAGCTTGAAGGGATCTTTATAGTAGGGGGATCAAGAAGGATGAAGGGCACTATGGGGACAAGAACAAATGAGAAGAAATAAGAATCTCTTTTATTTCCTTTGGGGTACAAATGGTAGTGTATGAACCCTTCACTAACCTGGGTCACTAAATATAAATGTCAGTAGGCAAATTCTTACAAATATACTCAATGCCTACTCTTATGGCTTTTTTTTTTTTAAACAGATCATTAAGTTTTACCATTTTAATAATTTATACTCCTTTATTTACTTTGCAGGTCAATGGGGATGTCCAACAATCAGCCTTTCCTCTGTGCTAGGGATGATATCTGGAGTACTGTCCTCCACTGTTGAGTCGATTGGTGATTACTACACATGTTCAAGATTATCAGGAGCTCCAATCCCACCAACACATGCTTTAAATCGGGGAATAGCAATGGAAGGGATTGGATGCATTTTGGCAGGCATTTGGGGGACAGGAAATGGAACTACCTCATATAGCCAGAATATTGCAGCTTTAGGCATAACAAAGGTAAATCAACTTCTTTAAATATTCAGGCTATTTTTATTTTAAATGGAAATTTAATTGGCTGTTTTGCAAAGATAAGAAAAAAATTAATACTTTGCTGTTAAGTTACCTAATCTGTTCTTAAATTACCAATATACTAATTCCTGTTGTTTTTTTATCATTCAAATAGAAAATAATTATGTCCTTGTCCTAAATACCAGACCCATGCACCAGCATTAGATCAAAATTGTGCACTTTTATGCTCTTTCCCAGTATATTCATCACATAGTCACCTTTCTTTTGCTCCCCCACCACTCCATTCAACCCACAGAGGCAAACAAAATGCCAATACTTCCAGATGTGAAAGAACGTGTGACTCACTTCCCTCTCTTCCATGTGACAGGGCTGGTGCTTTGGTGATTGACCTTGTTCTGTCAACTTGAAGAAATAAGAAAGTTCTCAGACTTGTTTAAGCACTGAGTAGAGTGACTCTCAACTTACACTGGGTTTTTCTTTCCTCTCTCTCTGATGCTCAGTGAGAAGTCATCAGAAGACAGGGATAGTATATATTGGACTTCTCAGGATCCTTTGTGTTTCACTTTAATAAAGGAGTGAATGGGAGTGGCTGTTTTATTTCAAATGAAGATGTTTCAAATTAAATCATCAGAAAATACCACATGGTTCACCACATGTCCTAGCTGATAATAACGTTACTCAGTCCCTGTATTCATAATGTCAGGCAAGCATAATAGGAGAGTCAGAGGTTCTTCTTGTGCTGCTAGTAGGGGGGATTAGGTTCTGCATCTGCAAATGAAAAAATTAACTTAAACCATCTAATTGATCCTTCGAAGCGAAGACCTCATGGACTATTGAGTGTCGAGGTTGGACCTGTCTGCTCTTTCCCTTTGAAATTGTGTCCTAGCAAAACTGTTTACATACTGTGAAATATTTAAGGCTTTTCTCTGTTGAAATAATGCATTCTATTGTGAATTTGTTGATTAAAACCTGCTTGTTGTCTGCCTGAAACTGCAACTACTAGCTGCTTACATAGCATGCGCTGTACATTATTTGTGTTTTTTTCTGCCAAATAATACACTTTAATTTTGATTTCTTGATTATAATTTTTCCTGGCCTCTCCCTGTGAAACTGTGTCTTAATAAAAGTGCTCATATAGTTTGCATTGAGTCTGTACAAAACTTATGCCTTTTTTTCTCTGAAACCTTTCTAGGCTGTGCCTGTAAAACTGTGGCCTACTAAAGCTTTCTACTTAGGAGTCTTTTTATAACGGGTTCACTCAGCATATAGCTGGGCTATCGCCATTAACATGGCATTATATCTGCTAGATGAAGCCAAGGAGCTTAAGAATTTTCTATGCCCCTCTTCTCCATCTAGTGCCAGTAATCTCATGAAAATCTTTTATAAATCTGCCTCATAGGGGTCTATTCACGAAGCAGCCGAAGGATCTAGCCATAGCTTCGGCCGATCCTTCGGCTAGCTTTGGCCCCCAGGACCCCTTCGGTTCAGTAGAACCGAAGAGCTGCTGTACGGGCTATTCACAATAGCCCGTACAGCTCCCGAAGTTAGCCGAGCTGCTCAGTCGAGACGAAGGCATATGCCTTGGCTCGGCTGAGCCGCGCTGAAAGCCGAAGCTGGCCGAGCGGCCGGCCATTGGCCGGCCGACAGCCTGCTTCTGACAGCTGGGCGGAGCCAGCCGTGATCTTACGGCTGGCTCCGGCCACTTGCAGAGAGATCAGCGTCCCTGGTTACCAGCTAACCAGGGACACTGATCTCCAGACAGCAAACTCTCCTGCTCCCGGCCACCCAGGAGAGAAACACTGCTGTTTCTTTTTTTTTCTTTATTCTGACACGGAGCCGTGTCAGAATAGAAAAAAAAATGTTTGCCCATAGGAATGCATTGCTAGATTCCTATTGGCTATTTCAATTTGCAATAGCCAATAGTAAACTAGCATTGCACCCACCCTCTGCTGTAGTTCTCCATCAGGTCCATCAGCAGAGGGGGGTACAATGCTAGTTTACTATTGGCTATTGCTGAGCATGTTCGGCCGACCCGAAGCCACATGAAGCCACGTGAAGCCACCCGATGTACGGCTGATTTCAGCCGGTATACGGCTGAAATCAGCCGCACCAGCCTGAAGTGAATAGCCGAACGGCGTTCGGCTCACTTCACTCAAGGATGGTCTTTCACTCGGCTGCCTACGGCAGCTTAGTGCATAGACCCCATAGTGTGTATCAAGTCTCTACAATTTTTGTTGGCTTTTTTTGAGTGAACTATTACACTCTAATGTTGTTTTCTTGATTAAAACCTGCATGGTGTCTATCTCTGAAACTGTGGCCTACTAAAGCAGCTTACATTATGTGCATCAAGTCTATTGAGTGTTTGTGGCTTTTATCTGTGAAATAATACATTTAAAATATTTTAATTTTTTGATTAAAAGCTGCCTGCTATCTCTACGAAAACTGCAGCTTATTAAAAGAATGTGCATGGATTCAGAACAATATTTCTGACTTTTTTTCTGGAAATATTGCACTGTCATTTTATTTCTTGATTAAAACCTGTTTGATGTCTCCCTGTGAAACTGCAGCCTAATAAAAGCTGCCTATGGATTTGCATGGGATCAGTGCAATATTTCTGGGTTTTCTGTAAACTAATAAATTGCATTTTTAATTTCTTCGTTATAAACCTTGCTGGCCCCTTCCTGTGAAACTGCAGCCTAGTAAAAATACTTGCATACTGTGCATGGAGTAAGTACAATATTTTAGGCTTTTTTTCTGTGACTGCAGAATATTACACTCTAATTTAGATTTTATGATCAAAATGTATATAGTGTGCATGTCTATTGCCCCTAATATAATTCACTGATTTTTTTCATGATAAAACCTGCCTAATCAATGCCTAACAAACAGCAGCCCAATACATCTGCGTACATACTGTGCATAAATTGCCCACATCTGGCTATCGTTTGTTAAATAATACACTACATTTTGGCTCTATATAAAACTTCCTTGTCTATTCCTTGTGGCCTAAAAAAGCAGCTACATAAGCTGCAGATACAGATTGTGCATTGACTTTGCAACATTTCTGGCTATTGTCTGTGATTTTTTTAATTCAGTACTGGATACATACTTTTTGTTTGATGGCTCCAATAAGAAAAATGTACTTGCGAGGGTTGTAGAGTCTATGGCCACCTTTACAGCCAAAACTGCCTAGAAAAGCCTTTCTTTCAAGTTGATTGGGATGCTGATGCTGTATTTACACCTAGCTAAATGTAAGAGTTAAAAGATGAACACATCCAAAATCTGTGATGCCAGAGTATTGTACTGTTCTATAACACTATTTATAACCACCACCAGGGCCGTCCCTATAATGAGGCAGCCCGAGGCAGTTGTCTCAGATGGCATCTCATTTGGGGGCAGCCAGGTTGTGGTGGGGTGGCAGGGGGGTGGCCAGTGTCCCAGGTCTGTAAGGCTCTTAGTAAACTTCGACACTCTCCCTGTTGTCAAGCTCACTAATGTAACCGGTTGCGTAGAGCTGAGCGGGACACTCTGGCTTGCATCCCACCAAGCTCCTGGAAACCAGTGATACCAGTGAGCTGCTGGACGGGATGCCAGACAGAGCCACTGACAGCATGGTCCAGACGCCACCTTCCGCAACACCTAACCCATATACCGTATTTTGCGGTCCATAAGACGCACCGGACCATAGGACGCAGGGAGGTCCGGCGCGCCTTATGGAGCACTCGAGACTGTAGCTTCTGTGACAGCTTCTATGACAGAAGCTGTCACAGAAGCTGCAGTTAGTGACCGCTGAGACAGGTGGCGCTGTGATTACAGCGCCACGGTCTCAGTGATGACACAGAGCAGGCGAAGAACGTCTATTCTCTATGCTCTATGGTTATCTCGATCGTCGCCGCTGCTCTGTTTTAATACGAGTGATCTCATTAGATCACTCGTATTAAACGAGCAGTGGCTCCTACTACTCGCCCGGCGCCCGAAACTGCATGTCTCGGGCGTCGGGATTCGCTCCATAAGACGCAGGCACTTTTCCACCCTCCTTTTTGGGGGAAAAAAGTGCGTCTTATGGAGCGAAAAATACGGTACTTCAATGGGGTTCAGAATAAAGTTTGCAGTTTTTTAACTTTATGGCCTATTAACTGAACCCAAATCTATTTGCTCAGTCCTACTCCTGTTCTCTGAATCAGCATTTTATATTTACTTCATACCCTAGCCAGTAAGTATTTCCTGTTGAGGCAAGTACATATATACTTTGTCACACATGACAATACTCGTTATTGATTTGTCATTCTTACAGAGAGGTACAGAAAATCCATTCAGACTTTGACTTATGAAAACTCTCTTCATATATCTAACCACTGTCACTGTCACAAGTCTTATATTTTTATTGGTTAGGAGCTAAATAACTTGTGAAAAGGCCAGTAAATTGTAATTTAGTCTACATCTAGTACAAGTTAGGCTAAAGGGGTTTATCTTACAATACATTCCCATAATACATATTAAGAGTTTATTGTTTTTTAAATAAATACTATAAAACCCCAGCTGGGAATCAAGTATGTGCAGCTGAAATTGCACATGGCTTGTGCATGTAGCTCAGTTGTGTAGAAGTCTATGACCATCACTCCTGTAATTTTCAGTTGTTCATTGGGTGGGTCCATAAAGTGAGAAATTAAAAAACATAAAAAAATACCTTTTACACCATTTTATATATTTGTACACCTCCCATGTTAATGTTTTCTAGGTTGGAAGCCGCTTAGTAATGCAGACAGCAGGAATCCTTTTAATTATTCTTGGACTGTTTGGTAAATTTGGTGCTATTTTTATAACAATTCCAGAGCCAGTAATTGGAGGAATGTTTATGGTGATGTTTGGCATGATTGCTGCAGTGGGTATTTCCAATCTCCAGGTAATGTCATTTCTACAATGCACAATTAGTTTCAGCTATTATTTATTGTTTATTTTGTATTGTGTTGTTTTTTTGTGCTATGCTATATGCATTATTCATTATGTTAAATATTATTAAAGCCTATTTACAGATAGATTTCTTTTTAAGTTTTCAGTAGAGTGGGTAAGTGTCAGAATATCTGTTATATTTTTATTGCTGTCTCTATTTCCAGTGGGGAGATTTCTGCTCATTTCCTGTTCTAGTGACACCAGAGCAAGCAATGAGAAGGTGCAGGCATCACCAGGGCAGGAAAACATATAGAGCAAGAAAAATACTGCCTGGACTTTAATCCTTAACCCCTTAACCTAATTAAAAAAATAAATGTTTCAACACAAAATCTTCTGCGCTCGAACTATATAAAGTTGCTGGGTGTTCTAATCAGAGCTGATCACTTAAATTGGTTGCATGAACCTTCAAAAACTAAATAATCAGTCTGAGCAGTGCTATAAACCAAAAAACAAACTACTGTGTACAAAGTAAATAACAGTGACAACAAATATATATAAGTAACCTGGATATTAGTGTTAAATCCTTTGTAAACCAATTGTAGCAAAAATGTGAACCATTATAGCATAAATAATCCAATGTAAATCTCAAAGCTATAGAAAGCAAAACAAAGGGGTCTATTCACAAATCTGCCGAAGGATCTGGCCGTAGCTTCGTCCGATCCTTCGGCTAGCTTCGGCCCCAGGACCCCTTCGGTTCAGGAGAACCGAGGGGGTGCTGTACGGGCTATTCACAACAGCCCGTACAGCTCCCGATCACGGCCAAGCGGCTCAGACGAGCCGATCGCATATGCCACGGCTCGGCTGAGCCGTGCTGAAAGCCGAAGCTGGCCGAGCGGCCGGCCATTGGCCGGCCCGCAGCCGCCTTTTCTGTTCTGCTCGGTGCCTCTGAGGGACCGAGCAGAACAGCCGAGCCAAATGCCGCTCGGCGGCATTCGGCTATTCTCTCACTGCTGTTCGGGATATTTCAGAATAGCCCGAACAGCAGTGTGAAGCCTGCCGGAGGTTCGGCTCAGCCGATCCAGATGTTGGATCGGCTGAGTCGAACTCCTTCTGCACTTCGGGTCAGCCGAACATGCTGAGCATGTTCGGCTGATCCGAAGCCACACGAAGCAAGCCGATGTACGGCTGAAATCAGCCGTACCAGCCTGAAGTGAATAGCCGAACAGTGTTCGGCTCACTTCACTTCTGATCGTTCATTCACTCGGCTGCCCTCGGCAGCTTTGTGAATAGACCCCAAAGTGTCCAATGATCGTAACTTGTATCATATATCAGTGTTCTGCAAAAACATAAAACAAAGCGTCAACACAATTTTTAAGATCAAATTATCCAATCTCTCCATGCGAAGTTCTGTTGAACTCTTTTTTTCTAAATCACTCTCCACAATCCTGTGTCTTTTTTACAAAGTTCCCGTAAACCTTCTTACAGATGTATCTAATCATGCAATTTAGGCTCTTCTGTGCTCCTGCCCCCAATACTCAAATTAAAGGTGCCCATACACTGCACGATTCTCGTACGAGAATCGTGGGAAATCCCGCGATCGTAGGAGAATTGTGCAGTGTGAATGAAGACGTGCAACCGTTTCTACTGTACGGTCGCACGTCTTTTGTCTAAGGAGCATGCTAGAAAACCAGCTGAAAATCGTACGATTTGCTCGGGAGACAAATGCCGAACTGGCCAGCAAACATAAGTAAGTAACATCAACAAGACTACAAGCAGGTAATGGCAACATGAGGACAAGCAGGTAATGGCAACAGGAGGAAAGGCAGATAATGGCAACAGGAGGTATCTAGGACTGCAAATGGGTAACCGGGCTCGGGACACAAACAGGGTTCAGGACTGGTAACAGGACTCTGGACAGAAAGCAGGGTTCACCGGAAATGGCGACAGAACTGGGGACTCAGGATTCACAGGAAACCATCAGGGTTCAAGTTTCAGGACTGGGATCAGGACTCCTGACTGCAGGGAGGGTTTAAATATCCTCCCAGGAAGCACCAGGTGATGGCTAAGTACTGGCAGCTGGGAAACACCCGCAGGTGAGCACTGGAGCTGCAGGTCTCAGCTCCAGCGCCACCTGGAGGCGCTCTGGATCCTAACAGCCAGCCGGCAGCTCTCTCACGCTGCCCGCGGCGATCTTCATGGGACTGAGGAGCCGGAGAGCTGCTGCCGGCCAGATAACTGCATTACTCAGCAGGCAGCCTGGCAGCAGCACAGCATGACAAGGTAGGTATGGCCGTGAGGTGAGGTGACTGAGAGGGGTCCCGAGGTCCAGTCCAGATGACGTGAGGTGCTCCCTGGCGGGAATCAGGATCCAACACAGACGACAGAGAGCCGGGAGGGCTGCAGTCTGCAGGTACTGTGCTGTGACACTGTCAGTCAGAATATCACTCCCCTTTTTCTCCATCACTTCTTCTGTACTGTAGAAGTCATGGAGAAGAGGGGGGGGTGATATACTGAAAGTAGTATCTGTGACACCTGTGTACCCCCTGCCTCCACACTAGTATGTAATCTAATAGTTTGATCTCTATTATTTAAATGATAGTAAAAATTATGTGGGGGGATGGACTCCATACTGTCCCCATTGAGCATCCCCCAACATACTTTTTTTTTACTGTAATTTAAATAGAGATAAAACTATTTTTAAAAACATCTCTAATTGATGATTTTCCTGATCCCCCACTGATATCTCCCCTGCGCAATGAGGAGAGAAAGCAGGATAAGAATCCACAGAAGCGGGCAGCAGATGGAAAAACTTTTTCGTAAGTAAATTCTTTTGTTGTAAATACTCTGTACTATTTAATGTCTGTTTTTGGCTTTTATTATTTAAATATTTAGGCTATTTCTTAAAGGGAAAGAAAATAAAAAAGTAATTATACTGTGTGATATACTGTATAGCCCACGGTATTATACTGTGTGATATACTGTATAGACCGCGGTATTATGCTGTGTGATATACTGTATAGTATATGTGTGAACCAGCCCGGCCCTCGACTTGGAGCATGAATAGATGTTTCACTGCAGGGCAAAGCATGTGAAATATTTGCTAGTATTGTGCCATATTAACAGCAAATACTAGTATACCAGCTGCTGTCTATTAGGATGCTTAGTTCTAATTCTTAGGTCTGCATTCAAACATTTAAGACATTTTATGCAACAAGTACTAACTGTACGTTTCCCATTTATTTACAGGACTTAATATATATAGCTTGTAGTCCCCACACCCTGGTTCTCTACCTCAACCCTTTTGGATTTATTTCCATTAAAAAATGTTTAATATTTAATAAAACAAATATTCAGTATGTCCGGACATATAGCTTTGCAAACCTGCTTTTATGTCAGATTTTTTGGCTAGGCGGAGGAATTGGGAGCAGAATGAATTAATGGAGAGATTGCTGGAAAGATGTAGATGGGCAAAACAATATACAGAAGGAAGGAGGGATAGTTGGAGGGATGTATGGATAGAGTACTGTATGAATGAAGGGATGTATGAGTAGGGGTAGGGATGAACGAATGAAAGAAGGAAGGGAGGAAGAGGAATAATTACAAAAAGAAAGGGAAGAAATGCCTTCACCTTCCCTCTGGAAACATCAGAACCCCCTCTATGCTCTTCTACCCTGGAGCTTATCTATGGTCTCTTAGTGATTTTGGGGGGATGATGAAAGCAAGACTTTTTTTGTCCATGTATCACAAAAGAACAGAAGTTTAGTAAATGGGTACATACAGTAATCATATGCAGTGTTCACTATTGTTTAGTAATAGGACATCAGTATTGTTTCTTAACATGTGAAGCTTTAAATAACTAATACCAACGTTATATGAGCAATTTTGTAATTGCTAAACTTTCTTCTTTTTTTAGTATGTCGATTTAAACTCATCGAGAAACCTATTTGTCTTGGGGTTTTCTGTGTTTTCTGGCCTTGTTATTCCAACATGGCTAGCAGATAATCCAGGTATTATCAGTACAGGTATGTAGTATCAATTATTTTTGCAGAATACCTTTTTGTCCACAAAAGTCTGTCATGCTTTTTAATCTGTTGCAGAGACTGTTATTGAATGAGGCAAGCCAATATACTGTTCAGTCTTCTTTGCACAGTAGAGTCTACATGGTTACGTGGGGGAACAGTCAGGTTGGAGATTTTAGTAGACAGGTTGGGGAGTGGTTTAAGGGCCTGTCCACACGACGTCCATTTTGTGTGCTGACCGGCTCCGTACGCTGCTGCACTCAAAATGCATCCCAATGTATCCCTATGTGTTTTATGGGCTCCAGTTCTCACGTGCGCAGTCCGTTCAGCTTACGACAGAAAAAATACTGCATGTCACATTTTGTCAGGTCCGGAAACGGTCAGGAAACGCAAACGCGTCCAAAACGCGGCAAAAATGCATCAAAAACACACTGCACTGCAGCTAACATACTAACAGCCCCACTCTAGCAAAAACAAAAGTTTTTTTTACTTAAACACATCAAAAACGCGGCCAAAATGTGGCAAAAACGCACTGCATCAGTCTGTAGATCCGCACCTGATCAGGACCTGATATCATGTGAACAGGCCCTAAAAACTCTATTTCTGGAGAGAGAGAGAGAGAGAGAGAGAGAGGGGGAGAGAGAGAGAGGACCAGGGAGAAAGATAATATAAGGTATAGAGAGAAGAGAGAAGGAAAAAAACTGAATGAGAATTAGAAAAATAAAGCTTTCATTAGACGTAAATCATTTTTGTCATTGCGTCTATTTAAATTGGAGTAGCATATTTTCTACTGATTACTTATGTTTTTGCTACATTATAATTTTTCTATTCCCATACCCTATTGTATAAATATAAACTTTTTTTGTACTGTTGGAGGATGGAAGGTTTTGGAAGAATTTACTGTACCCTGGTCTTATTAAGGTGGAGAACTACAAGTAGTACATTGTTAATTTAGTCTGATTTCAATGTATCCTGGCAGTATTGGTTTGGCTGATAAAGTTTAGCATCCTAATCCTTTTTTTATCCAGTGGATTAGCTAAAATATACAAATATACATATTTAAAAAATATTAAAATGACAAACTGCTTAGCCACTAAAGAAACATTCCAGAAAGTTAGAGGAGTGTAAGCACTAAGCCAAGGCTGCTCGACAAGTTAAGCTTCACAGGCCATTGCTCCTACCAGTTATTTAAAGAGAGAGAGAGAGAGAGAGATGTTAATGAACTTGTGTGCTAGTTCCTTTATTGAGAGATCACTGCCTGAGATAAAGACGTAAAGCTAAACTCCAGCCACAAACATTTTTATTGAAATAAACAGTATTTCTCAATAGATCGACAGGATATAAATCCACTTTTGTGTGCACCAAGTGCTTTTTAAGTTCCGGATATTACCTTGTATAATTAGCACCAACATCATCACTGTGCTTTACATAGCATGTGCAGAGAGCAAAGCTATGGGAGGGACTCCATTTGATAAAAAGCAAACATGCTGCATTTTATCGCAGTGCACTGGACGGTTCCCCAGTTTGTCATGCAGGGGCCTGAATAAAGTGTACACATTGTATACTCCACATAAAATTGAAAAAAAGAAAAAATGTAAACAGTGACAGCTCCAGTGGTGTGGGATACGACGCAAACCACCCAGAGCAGGCAGAACGCACTAGCCTGTCTGCTGAAACACAGTGGTGTCTATTCACTAAGCTGCCATAGGCAGCCGAGTGAACAACCGACCCAAAGTGATGTGAGCCGAATGCTGTTCGACTATTCACTTCAGGTTTGTCTGGCTGATTTAATCCGTATATCGGCTGAAATCAGCCGTACATCGGGTGGCTTCGTGTGGCTTCGGGTCAGCCGAACATGCCCAGCATGCTCGGCCGACCCGAAGTGCAGAAGGAGTTCGATGAACCTTCGGCAGGCTACTCGCTGCTGTTCGGTATATTCTCATAGATGCCGAACAGCAGTGAGTAAATACTGAATGCCGCTGAGTGGCATTCGGCTCGGCTGTTCTGCTCGGTCCCTCTGTGGCACCGAGCAGAATAGCAAAATAGTTAAAAAAGTAGAAAAGAAACAATAGAAAATGATTGTGCGGAGCTAGCAGTGACAGCAAGCTCTGCCCAACTGTTTTTTATTGGCAGGGAGGTTCTGCTGCCATAAAAAAATAAAATAAAAAAATGTCACCATAGGAATGCATAGCTAGATTCCTGTTGGCTATAGCCAATAGCAAACTAGCTATTGCACCCACCCTCTGCTGCTGTCAATCACTAGAGGGGACCTGATGGAGAACTGCAGGTCCCCTCTGCTGATTGACAGCAGCAATGGGCGGGTGCAATAGCTAGTTTGCTTTTAGCTATTGCAAATTGAAATAGCCAATATTAATCTAGCTATGCATTCCTATGGTGAAATGTTTTTGTTTTTTTCTTAATTCTGACGGCAGCCAACGGCTCCATGTCAGAATAAACAAAACAAAAAAGAAAGCAGGGAAAGGTTTACTCTGCTCGATCGAGCAGAGTAAACCTTTCTGGGAGAAAGTGTTTCTCTCCCGGGTGGCCGGAAGCTGCTATCTAATAGTGGGAGACTCCAGGAGCGCCTGGGAGAGTTGGGCTGTCTGGAGATCAGTGTCCCTGGTTAGCTGGTAACCAGGGACACTGATCTCTCTGCAAGTGGCCAGAGCCAGCCGTAAGATCACGGCTGGCTTTGCCCAGCTGTCAGAAGCAGGTTGTCGGCCAGCCAATGGCCGGCCACTCGGCCAGCTTCGGCTTTCAGCACGGCTCAGCCGAGCCAAGGCATATGCCTTCGGCTCGACTGAGCCGCTCGGCTAAGTTCAGGAGCTGTACGGGCTATTGTGAATAGCCCGTACAGCAGCCCTCCGGTTCTACTGCACCAAAGGGGTCCTGGGGCCGAAGCTAGCCAAAGGATCAGCTGAAGCTATGGCTAGATCCTTCGGCTGCTTCATGAATAGACCCCAGTGTTTTAGTGACTAGGCTAGTGAGAACGGATCCTTAGTCAGCTTCAAGTTAATTTACGGAAATGCAAAAACTATCGTTGGACTTCTTTTGTTAAAAATTTAGATGTTTAAGTTGACAAAGCTTTACAGTTTAATGACTTCTACAAAAGAAATCATAGACAAAAAAAGTTTGTTTCAATAAGCATGTCAACCTAAAATAACACAGTGCCATACTAACTATGATAAATCTTCTACAATTGTATGTTTTATAGCAACAGGAATTTGAGGAAAATCTTTCCAATGAGTACACCTAATGTTCTCAATTAACCCTCTTTGTAGTATTTCCTGGTTAGCAAAATGTTAAATTGGGAGCATCACACATAGATACATTTGCTTCTCCTTTTCTGTGCAAAGTTTGGTTCAGTTGGAGTCTTGTTTGGCTGGTGAATAAAGTAAGCAACCCGATGACCATGGCTTTGTTACCTGTGTCATACAGTACACACATCTAAAAATCTTTGCATAAAACAGGGTTCCATGGTTCACATGTATTGTGATACATGTTTATTCTGACCAACTCATGTAGCTCTACTCCCTAGGAAACTTTTTTTTTTTTTTGAAAAATAGTTTTTATTGTTTTTCATAGGTAAATACATAACAGTGCATGCCACGTGCTCTCAGGCAAGACGGGAGCCAGGCGTAGCAAAGCACAGCAAAACAACACAGAAAAAAATAAAGCTTATAAAACAATAAAAATATGACCATCTATGCTCTTCTCCTGAAGGGAGAACCTACTTAAGTGCAGGCGGGGGGAACAGTCTCCAAAACAAAGGTAGCTGTCTACAATTAAATCTCTATGACCACTCAATAGGAGGAAGTCCAGTAGTGGGACCTCATGCCCCCTTCGGTTGATTTTGTAGCTGTGCCTCAACTATATCCAGGGCCCTGCTACTTGGCCCCCTTGTTCTTTCCCCAGCTCAACCATCCGAGTCCACTGAGGGCCCAGTGCACTCCAACAAGCTATCCCAGACCTTGTTGAACTTATTTGGTATAAGACCTTGTTGAACTTATGTGTGTATACATATCCTGGTATAGCGGTAAGTTGTCATTTACCAGCTTCTTGCAGAAAGGCAGTGTTGGCGGTCTAGGCTTCTTCCAGCACATGGCAATTGCCTTACGGGCGTAAAACAACGTTAGGCCTACTAGCGTACGTTCAGACCTGGTCAGGCTACATCTTCCACTAGGCCCAGAAGGCATATCCTCGGCGTCGGGGTAAGAGGTAGAGAGGTTACCTTCTCAACATGCTCTACTACAGAGTGCCAATAGGAGGTGATGAGGGGGCATACCCAGAACACATGAAAGAAGTTACCCTCCGGGCATGTGCATCGCCAACAAGATGGAGATATGGAGGCATTCATTCTATGTAGGCGGTGAGGTGTGAAATAAGCTCTATGGAGGATCTTAAACTGAACCATTCTATCCCGTACTGCAACCAGCTGTTTAATGGGTGCATTCCAGATCTCCTCCCAATCCTCATCATCCAGGTCGGGGATGTTCGCTCTCCATCTAGAATGCAATGTGAGCAGACTGGGGAGGTCAAGATCTGTAGGGTGTTATAAAAGCATGAGGCAGGATTTAGCAGCCTCTCAGTCCTCGCGAGAGACTCCAGTTGAGTAATTCCCAGTTGAACCCCACCCCCGGGGGAACTGAGCTTTGAAAGCATGGGAGAGCTGCATATAGCGGAAGAAGCAATTCAGGGGGGCAAAGTATCTTGCTACAAGGACATCAAATGATATGAGGGAGTTGGCTTCAATAATATCCAACATTATTTTAATTTTGCGTGTGGCCCAAAAACATGGATCAGGGAGCGTGTAAAAGTGGGGTAGATCGGGGTTGTTCCACAGTAGAGTCTCCGGAGAGATCTTCCGGGTATCGATTGAACACCAAGCTAGCCCAGTGCGCCAGGCTTTAATAGTAGTGCGCATAGAGGGGGTCAGGGTGTAGGGGGCCCTCGGACCTCTATAGAGCAAGCTGGTCAGTGCCTCCACTGAGTTCAAAATGGCA